TGTTTTTGTTTTTTGTTTGTTGCGGTTGCACCCGATTCAAGAGCCGAATGGCTCACAGGACTACACCTAATACATGAACTTGAACTTGAAAGCTTCAAATCTAGAACTCATTCATGGATTAGGCTGAACGTCACCGTGTAGGAGCCCAGAGCTTAATACCTTCACGCCCTGGGCGAGTAGCGCAGTGGGTAGCGCCCTCGCTTCCCATGCGGAAGGTTGCGGGTTCGATCCCCGCGTTCTCCACAGGCGATGCGTTCACTTCTCTTACACACTCGTGGCAATGATCACCGTCAATCTATTACAAATGTTTCCATAAGTTTCAACCTCCCACCCCCCCACATTCAGACTCTGTCTTCTCGACAGAGAACAGGTCTGTCGAGAAGACAGAGTCATTCAGACTCTGAGACCCATAGAATCACTCACACACACAGAGCGAGCCATAGACTCATCACACACACAGACCCATAGACTCACACACACAGAGAGCCATAGACTCACTCACACACACAGACCCATAGACTCACTCACACACACAGACCCATAGACTCACTCACACAGAGAGCCATAGACTCACTCACTCACACACAGAGACCCATAGACTCACTCACACAGAGAGAGAGCCATAGACTCACATATGGTGGTGGCGTTGATGGTGGTGGTGGTGATGGTGGTGATGATGGTGGTGATGGTGGTGATGGTGGTGATGGTGGTGATGGTGGTGATGGTGGTGATGGTGGTGGTAGTGATGGTGATGATGATGGTGGTGATGGTGGTAGCGATGGTGGTGATGCTATTGATGATGATGGTGATGGTGGTGATTGTGGTGGTGATGGTGCAGGTGGTGGTGATGGTGCAGGTGGTGGTGATGGTGGTGGTGATGATGGTGATGATGGTGGTGATGATGGTGGCGGTGATGGTGGTGATGGTGGTGATGGTGGTGATGGTGGTGATGGTGGTGGTGATTGATTGCCCGTGGGACAAATGTTATAGCGGTGTCATAATCGTTTATAAAAGGAGGTTTTAAAAGTTGTAACACATTAAACAAAATTTTTGAATGGAGGGGAGAATTGGTAGCTCGGATAGGCGAGCAATGCCCCGGTCAGAGTGGAATTGGTAGAGCGGATAAGGGCCACAGTTTGATTTGCACCACTTAATTAATTGTGTGTGTGTGTGTACGTGTGTATGTGCGTGTGTATGTGCGTGTGTACGTGTGTGTGTACGTGTGTGTGTGTGTGTACGTGTGTACGTGTGTGTGTGTGTGTACGCGTGTGTGTGTACGTGTGTGTGTGTGTACGTGTGTGTGTACAGGTGGTGAATCAGGTGAGTGGTCAGTGCAGGTAACCTGGGTGGGTGTGGTTACCACTGCTAAGGAAGGGTGGTTATCACTGCTAAAGAAGGGTGGTTACCACTGCTAAGGAAGGGTGGTTACCACTGCTAAGGAAGGGTGGTTACCACTGCTAAGGAAGGGTGGTTATCACTGATAAAGAAGGGTGGTTACCACTGCTAAGGAAGGGTGGTTACCACTGCTAAAGAAGGGTGGTTACCACTGCTAAGGAAGGGTGGTTACCACTGCTAAGGAAGGGTGGTTACCACTGCTAAGGAAGGGTGGTTACCACTGCTAAAGAAGGGTGGTTACCACTGCTAAAGAAGGGTGGTTACCACTGCTAAGGAAGGGTGGTTACCACTGCTAAGGAAGGGTGGTTACCACTGCTAAGGAAGGGTGGTTACCACTGCTAAGGAAGGGTGGTTCTCGCGGCATCGTGGATGTTGATGTTGGTGGTGCTCCTTACCAACGAGAGAGAGGCTCTAGTGACGGGCCGGGTGGCCGCGCCTCCACCCCCAGCACCACCCAACCCGTCAGCTGCTGCCCCGTGCTGCTGCTGCCCCGTGCTGCTGCTGCTGCCCACGTGAGTTGCCTCTCCTCCCCCGGCAGTCTGTGCAGACTGTGCGTGTGTCTGTGTACAGCTGGGGGGAGCGGCGGTGCAGCGGTTAGCGCTACGCCGCGCTACGAACCCGGCGACACGGGTTCGATTCCCGCTCACGGCCAACACCGGTGACGATTATCTGAACCGGTCCCGGGCCTCCCCTAGGTCGACTCAGCCTCAAAATGAGTACCTGGTGTAGCGGCGGTATGGAGTAAACATCGCTAGCACTGGGGGAGAGACCAAGGCGGTCGGGCGTGGTGCTGGCCACCCACCCCCTCGTGTGCTGTGCCGGCCTTCATAGGTGCTGCTACTTGCTACTAACAGCACTTGCCCCTACAGCCCTGTTAGAGGCTACCTGGGGTAGCTTTGTCTGTGCGTGGTGTGTGTAGTACATAGACACTGCTGCTGCTACTCGCTGGCAAGAGCACTTGCCCCAGCAGCCTTACGGAGGCTACACGGGGGACCTTTGTCTGTGCGTGTGTGTATGTGTCTGTATGTGACTGTGTGTGTGTGTGTCTGTCTGTGTGTGTGTCTGTGTGTGTGTCTGTGTGTGTGTCTGTGTCTGTGTGTGTCTGTGTGTGTGTCTGTGTGTGTGTCTGTGTGTGTGTCTGTGTGTATGTGTGTGTGTATGTGTGTGTGTCTGTGTGTGTCTGTGTGTGTCTGTGTGTGTGTCTGTGTGTGTGGGTGAGTGTCTATATCGTAGTCAAATATTGGAAGAAGTCACCCCCTGTGAGTGGCTGGCTGAGGTGCCATCTGTTGAGGAAGTACTGAAGGCGATCCGGAGTCTGAGACCAGGAAAGGCAGCAGGCAGAGATGATCTCCCAAGCGAAATGCTGAGAGAGGGTGGCGTTTGTGTACAGACTGCCCTATATGACATCATAACAACAGTCTGGACCACTGGACGGGTTCCGCAAGATTGGAAGGATGCCCTGGTGGTCCCCCTCTTTAAGAAGGGGGACCGCACAGACTGTAACACATTACAGGGGCATCTCACTCCTCAGTGTGCCGGGAAAGGTCCTGGCAAGGATTATTCAACATCGCCTTGCTAGGCACGCTGAGGAGAGGCTTGCGGAACCCCAATGCGGTTTCAGGAAAGGGCGGTCCTGCACAGATGCCATATTTTCTGTCCGTCTGCTACAGCAGAGGTGTAGGGAATTTCAACAAGACCTAAATCTCTGCTTTATTGACCTGGTCAAGGCCTATGATACCATCAGTTGGCCTGGGCTCTGGTTTGTTCTTCGTGCTTTCGGAGTCCCTGACCCTCTGCTCACGATCATTAAGGACCTTCATGATGGTGAGCGGGCCCGGGTAAAACTACGTGGCCGGGAGTCAGAGCCTTTCCCTGTACACCTTGGGGTGCGGCAGGGATGTCTTCTGGCTCCCACATTATTTAACATCTATTTTGACCGAGTAGTTCGTGAAGCGTTCAATAGCTGTATTGGGGGAATTTCCGTTTGGTACAGATAAAATGGGAGGCTGATCGACGCCCGGATGCGATCAAGGGATGGCTCCTTATTGGTCAACCACGTTATGTATGCCGATGATTTGGTAATAGCTGCTCATTCAGAAGAGGAGTTGGAGACGCTGCTGCTGAGACTGGAGCGTGCCACTAAGAGGTGGGGCCTTACCATCAGCCCCACCAAAACTAAGCACCTGCCTGGGTATTTTGTGCCATCGGACACTCCACCCCCACAACTCCCGATCGGTGATGGGGCAGTTGTGGAGAGAGTGGAGAGTTTCCCATACCTGGGCAGTGTGCTTATGACCGGCTCCAGTTTAACAGCAGAGGTCTCACTCCGAATCAGTCGAGCGGCAATATCTTTTCATCGGTTGCGTAACGCTGTGTGGAAGCTACCTGGTCTGTCACTCCGCACGAAGCTTCAGGTCTTCTCGGCCACAGTCATTCCCTCCCTTTTCTCTGCGAAACGTGGACCCCCCTAATGGAGCATCTTCGCTGGTTGGAAACATTTAGGCTGGCCTGCCTACAATCCATCCTGGGTTTAACCAGGCTGGATTGTGTGAGGAGCTCACAAATCCTTGAAAGATCTGGGCAAAGTCCCATCGGTGAGCTCCTCCGGCAGGCAAGGCTGCGTTGGCTGGGTCATGTAGCCCGCATGCCCAGCCACCGCATGCCTAAGCAGCTTTTGTTCGGCCGGATCGAGGGGGCTAAGCGGGCGCGGCACGGGCTAGAGAAGAGATGGAGTGATGTGGTACAGGAGGACGTGGAGCTGAGTGGACTTGCCGATGACTGGTACCAGCGGTGTCAAGATCGGCTTCTGTGGAGGAGGCTCGTGAAGGACGCTACTGGGCAGTTGGAGGCAGTCGCCCTCCAACAACAACGGAGGGCGGAGGAGCGACGCTCACAACAACGAGCGGAGCGCCGGGTGGCTAAACCACAGCAAGTTAATACAGTAGGGGGTACAGGTGGTGCATCAGCCAGTCACCTCAGTCATCTCGGTCATCTCGGTCAGTCGACCCGTGGCACCTGCTGGGTCTGCCCCGTGACCTCCTGCCAGCGGGCGTTCGACACTTCAAGGTGCACTTGGCCTGGCACAAGCGTCGTGGTGACGTCACCACCACTTAATGGCGGTTTGTTGTTCTGTGTACATGTGTCGGTGTGTACATGAGTGTGTGTACACATTATGAGTGTGTGTGTACACATGTGTGTGTATGTACACGTGTGTGTACATTAGTGTGTGTACTCATGATGAGTGTGTGTACACATGTGTGTGTACACATGTGCGTGTGTGTGTTCATGTGTTGCCTCTACGAAGACTCTGTCTCCCTGCAAGAACACTACACTCGTAGTGGCAGACACACCCACTCGACGCGTGCTGTCGTCTCTTGGTGACATGTCCTTGATCACCTCGCGAGGAGTCTGGCCTTTGCTGGGCGATGACCGCGGCGATACCACCACCGCTTTGCAGTGAATGGCAGTCGTTTCCTTGAGTGTCAATGCTAAAGTTCCTAGAAAATCCAACCAATCGTGCATTATAAAGGTAACACAACGCCAATGAAGTGCATGCCGTTTTTATTAAAATGTCAAAGGATAACAGCAGAACCAGACTTTGACATTTGCTCACATTGTATTATGCCAAGTGATAAAAGGGGCGGGGGGAGGGGGTTTGCGAAATATCCAAGACTCTGGACTTGACACTTTGGATGAGGAGAGGGTTAGAGATTTAAAATAATAATAACTGGCAAAAACAGTCTTGAAATCTGGCCACAAATCTTCAGGAAGTGAGAAATGTTGCTAGGACGTGCATCTCAAGAGACAGACTGACACACAGATGGCCCCATCGCACCGACACCACAAGGCATCATTGATATGTACAATTTCCGACGATTTTCCCCTCCTCCCCCCGCATCTTAGTCCATTTTCTTCTTCTTCTCGGCAAACAAAACACGTGGAATTGTGATAACTGGTTTCTAGCACCGATTTAGACTTGGCAGTTTTCGCGAAAGGCTTTTTTCGCAAACATTTCCCTGCTTGCGTGTGGTCTGCACGGTTTCACAACGTACCGTGTTTCAACTTGGCAATGGCAACAAAACAATATAGACCTAAATACTATAACAAGAAGAAAACATGTAAGGGGTCGGGCATTTATTCCATCTCTAATAGCGTGCAGACACACAGGGGGATGTTTGCATCTTTAGAGGAGTCGTTGATGTTTGCATCTGCCAAGGTGTGCTGGCTCGCTCAAGTTTTAATTTCAACTTTGGCAAAAAATTCATTTTCATTCATTCAGCAGCTCATCTTACAAAAATGGAAGCGCTTAAATCATCTAAATACATTTTCCATAATGTTTTGCCCTTTAACCGACAGAATTAATTGAGAAAATGCATGTTACGCAATGTATTAATGAAAACATTGCCTCTCGGGGCTTTCAAACAACATCTCATTGCTAAACTTAAAGGCCCGAGAAGCACTCCGCAGACATTTGAAACGTAAACATTTACGCACATTGCAATACATTGCAATACATTAAATAGCACCAAATATTTCTGCACCTGCCGAGGGAAACACGAACAAAACAGTCAGTCAGCAAGAAAACCACAAAATAATACAATGAAGAATATAACCAAAATCATCTCGTTATAAAATGGCTGCCACATCCTGCCTAACCATGCAAGTGGAGTGGCTTTCATGAGCTTTAGCAAGATCCTAAACATGCCCTTCACGCTTGGGTAAAGGTGCGGCCCTGCAGTCGATCGCTTTACTAACACCGCTGCCGCTAGGAATGCCTCAACTAGAGGGAGCTTTAGAAAGCTCACGTCGTAGGTATGCTGTTGAAGTGGTCGCAAACGCCCACCACACTTCACCCCGCCACCGATCGACTAACCGCATCGATGGGTTGGGGGGTTAGAGGTGGAAAGGGAGAACTTTGAGGGGGCCATTTTGTGTAGCAATGGTAACATTTCATTTGGGAAACACCACAGACGGGGTACATTCGGCCCTCTAAACCATTAATTTCGACATCCATCCGAGCCATTACACTCATCCACATATATTACGAGCAATTTAATGCTTGTTCACCCAGGAAAGGCCTCAAAGAGTCATGAACTTTTTTTGAGAAGGGTCCTGCCAAGTTTTCACAGTCGGGGGGTACAACTGTGTAATGGTGTGGGGTAGTTTTTCAAATTCGACAAATTCGGACCACGATTCTTGCCCCGCAGTGGCTTGCGCCTGCTGTGAATGACATCACAGGATCTTCAAAGCAGCTGGCGCGCAGTGCTTCTCTGGTAAGCGAACACCACGGCATTGACCAGGGCGGCCGCTGGACTCTGTCCGTGAGCTCCTGCGATGAGCAGCGGACGCCGCTGCCGCCACGTCAGTGTCACCATCTGGGGAGGAGCACAAGAAGCAACTCGCGATTTGTTCATCGAATCGAGAATTTATTCTTGGGCAACCACTACGTGAAAATGCAGTCTAGAGCGGCGTGCAATTATTGTTATTTTTAATGGAACTGACAAAAGCCAAGGCTTTCAACTTATTCTTAGGTTTTTTCGGTAAAGTCACGTAGGTAAAACATTAAAATTAAAAAAAGTAAAATAAAATAAAAATCACGACGTTTCGGAGGCAACACAAGCCTCCGTCTTCAGGTGGAACCGTCACAGCCACGACAGCCGTATCAAGTAAATGAGAGATTGCAGGAGCTACCACTCCGTTTATATAATGGTTGGAGAGGGGGGAACGTCGTGATTTTTATTTTATTTAACTTTTATTAATTTTAATGTTTTACCTACATGGTGACTTTACCGAAAAAACCTAAGAATATGAATCCTTGCAGTCACGAAAGCTTCAAATCTAGAATTAAGGCTTTCAACGTCCCGCAAAGAGTCACACATCTCTCTCAGCAACAGCTACCTCAAAAGCAGACGATTCTGAACAAGCCAGGACAAGTTGTTGGCAACCCACCATCCACTTGGAAGCCACACACCAGCTAGCACAACAGTGCTGATGTCCCCCACAAATATACCACCACCACCACCCCCCCGAACATCGCTTGTTACGAGGAATGTAATGATGATGGGAATAATCCCAGTCCCCTGTCCCCTGGGGAGTTATCATCTCGGGGGGTTTTGGTTCGGCGTGAGCCCTTAATAAACGTGGCGTGAGCCCCTAACAGCAACCTGCCGCGGAGTCGTGAGTAGCGCTACAACAGTCACAAGGACTCTCCAGCCACGTGGCCTTGTGCTGAACAACGTGCACGTGGGTTCTGCGCTCGCAGTTCCTGTTCATCACAACTAAATCAGAATGGGACGATCTTCATTTGAACTCGGATGTATATCGCATGATGATACTGTCAAAACAAATGTTGGTTGTAATGTAGAGATTGCAATCTAATTGTATACATATATTGATGTATATGTGGATATACTGGATACACAATACAAAGTCAAGACAAAGTTTCCCTGTCGTGGCCAATGAAGGCCGGCACGGCACTTCAGGGGTGGTTTGGGTGGCCAGCACCACAGCCTGGTGGCGATGTTTACACAATGCACCAGGTGCTCATTGAAGGCCGAGTCGGCCTAGGGGATGCCCGGAACCGGTTCAGATAATCGTCACCGGTGTCGACCTCGAGCGGTAATCGAACTCGGGTGCCCGGGCGACCTAGCGCAGTGCGCTAACCACTGTGCCACCGCTCCCCCCGCACTCCACATCCACGCGTGTGCATATGAAGGACTTCCAATCAATGCTCCGAGGACACGTCGCCTAGTCGTGCATTGCTCACGGTACTCGGAAACACAACGGGACGCCGCTATAAACACAACGCGTGAATCGCAGCTTTATATTCCAGGAGTGGCTGTGAAAACAATTCTGTTTTGGAATAGGGGCTCGGTTATAGCCAACTTATAAAATCAATTACGGCCACACTCTCACTGCACCAATGGGTGACGGCCTCGCCACGCCGTATGGGCTCACGGGGGGATCCAGGATCATACTTGGCCACGATGCCGAGTGAGGGTTGTGTTTGGTGATTGGTGGGGAAAGCAGGAGCGGTTCTGACGTCACTCACAACTAATGCTCGCCGTGGCCTGGAGTCGAACTCGGGCTGCCAGGCTCGGAGCACAGCGCCGCACTCCAACCCGCCGTACTACAGCAACACGCCGCTCGGCTTATTCACAAGCACGCACCACGGGCTTGACTAAATCGAGTATGAAGTCTAATCCGTACAACGGGAATCCAACAACAATAGTCGTACCCAGTGATAGAGAGAGAGTGTAGTGATGATGATGATGATGCGAAGTGCAGAGAAAAGCTTTTACCTGCAGCAGCAGCTCCCTGTTGTCCCCTCTATGGGGGAAGCGGTGGGCGCGTCGCCCACCGCTTCTGTGCATTCTCTTTGGCGCTGGGATCACGGCAGGCACACTCCTTCTTGCGGTCACAACTGGCTGGAACGGTGATCACCTGCACGCACACACAAAAAGGCACACCAACACCACACAGACACGTACAATCGATTAACTCTTCGAGTGTGAGGAAAACGGTGCCAAATTAAACGCAAAATGCAGTTTTAAAGAAACGAGTATTTGGACCTAGATTTAAAAGTGCTTTGCTAAAGTCACTTCCTAAGATCGTGAGGAAGAGAGTCCCAGACGGTCGTAGAAGCGCATGTCTAATTGCCAAAAGCTCCCGCGAGGAAGACCGCGGTTTGCGTAATGGTCGATGCTCCTTGACGAGATCAGAAAGGCATTGTGGGTCGTCATTTGTGTCAAGCGCTTTGTGTGTAGAGAGTGCGACCTGACCATGTGTGCGAGTGCAGCGTGGGCGTGCGACTTGGCCACCTGTTTGAAGGCGGATGTGGACACGCAACAATCCCCTCCGTCGTAGTGGCAGTAGGCGTTGTTGTTTACCGGGTCACAGTACCCATCGCCGACCCATAACTGAAGACCACACACGTGCACACACAGCCCACGTACAAATCACGCACGGTAACGATGATACAGATGCGCCTTTTGTTTTACAGCAGAGCAACCCTGAGTCTCTGGAAGGAGTGGGAACAATTATGTCAGTTCATCAAATGATGTTGATTCTTAAACTCATGACGCATGCAGTGACCTGACGGGCCTACACACATTGTGTTGTTAATGAAAGCCAGACGCAGCAAGTGCTATTTTATAATTATCACCGTACATATATTATATGCTCCGTGTTGCAATGGTTAGCACAGCTTAAATATTGGTTCGAATTTCTTAAATCCCCCCCCCCCGGCCCACCTCCGTCCATCCCACGTGTTATGGAATAAAGTGTGGGCCAACTCCCAACTCGTAACAAGACGCCTGGCCGGCATTGGAAGAGTAGGCCAAGACACCCTCTAGAGGGGCTCTCCAGAGTGGAGGCCATTCTGCCAGCAGCGGTGGCGTTAGCAAGACATTGCAAGGTTTCATCTTCACCTCGAGAAAAAGAGACAAAGATCCCCCGAACAAACAGTCGGGGCAAGTGCTGTTAGCGAGTAGCAGCACCTGTGAAGACCGCAACGACACACGAGGGGGGGTGGGTGGCCAGCACCACGCCCGGCCGCCTTTGTCTCCCCAGTGGCGATGTTTACACACCGCTACACCAGGTAACTCATTTGAGGCCGAGTCGACCTAGATAAGGCTCGGAACCAGTTCAGATGGTCATTGCTGGTGTTGGCCGTGAGCGGGAATCAAATTTGGGGGTTCGTAGCGCAGCACGCAAACCACTACACTACCACTCCCCACTAACGTGTGTACTGTATACACACACTACACTCCCACTAACGTGTGTACTGTATACACACACTACACTACCACTAACGTGTGTACTGTATACACACTACACTACCACTAACGTGTGTACTGTATACACACACCACACTACCACTCCCCACTACCCTGTGTACTGTATACACACACTACACTACCACTCCCCACTAACGTGTGTACTGTATACACACACCACACTACCACTCCCCACTACCCTGTGTACTGTATACACACACTACACTACCACTCCCCACTAACGTGTGTACTGTATACACACACTACACTCCCACTAACGTGTGTACTGTATACACACACTACACTACCACTAACGTGTGTACTGTATACACACACTACACTACCACTCCCACTAACCTGTGTACTGTATACACACACTACACTACCACTCCCACTACCCTGTGTACTGTATACACACACTACACTACCACTCCCACTAACCTGTGTACTGTATACACACACTACACTACCACTCCCACTAACGTGTGTACTGTATACACACACTACACTCCCACTAACGTGTGTACTGTATACACACACTACACTACCACTCCCACTACCCTGTGTACTGTATACACACACTACACTACCACTCCCACTAACCTGTGTACTGTATACACACACTACACTACCACTCCCACTACCCTGTGTACTGTATACACACACTACACTACCACTCCCACTAACGTGTGTACTGTATACACACACTACACTCCCACTAACGTGTGTACTGTATACACACACTACACTACCACTAACCTGTGTACTGTATACACACACTACACTACCACTAACCTGTGTACGGTATACATATGAAGTACCCTTGAAGACGCTTGGACACCGTTGTAAGGCACACGTGTTTATTTACACAATGGTCGTACAGCACTAGAGGGGTGTATCGGCCCCCTCACCCGTATAACTGGGGATACCCTCTAGCTATCCCTGACCTACCCCGAGTCCTCCACTAACGGGCTAGGGGAGGCTGTCTGGCCCGACACTGGTCAGTCGGGCTACGGTACCCGGAGTCCCAGAGTACTAACTCTGGTTCACGGGACCACGCCACTGGCTCCGTCCTGCGCTGCCCTTATAAGGGCGGCGTCCCAGGGGAGTCCAGGGCCTATCTGGTCGATCTTCCGTCTTCCCCTATTTACTCTAAGACTGAACCCCGAGCTCTCTGGCTCATCCCCTTTTATACTCCCCCAGAGGATCACAACCCCCCCTCACGCCGCCCGGTGCGGACGTCGTTGCGGGCACCACCCCGTGTACTGGCGGAGTCCCCGCCCACTGTGTTTGTCATCCGTTAGATCCTATGCAAACAGCCCTACACAAACAGCCCCTCTGTAACAGCCCTACATCACCCCCCCCTGTACAGCTCGCAGCCGTCCCGGCTGCAACAACTTCAATAAAGGTTTATTAACCCCTTGATCTCCGCGTGTGCCTCAAAAAAACGTTTTTAACCATAACGTGAAGGGAACAACAAAAACCAACAAACCCCGAAGGGAAACAATCCGACGCACCCCCCCTGAATAAACACGAATTCCGTAAGAGCGACGTATATACAGTTTTAGCAGGGAACCCCTAGCACACACGCAACACAACACAATGTGGCAGGAGCTCCCCACCGACGCAGCACCCCGCAACCATACACAAGAGAAATAAGTCTCCTTTTAATGCATTATAAGAGTCTGCGCATTTTTGCGCGCGTCCTTGCTGCAGGCCCGTCACACGGGGCAACCCCGGATGGCGGACCGCCCGGTGGCAGCTGTTCATTCCGTATTGAGTCCGCGTTTGACGTCGCGAGACCCTCGGCATCCCCCGTAGCGGTGGTTGGGTGCGAGCCCGTCAATCCCGGTGCACCTGTGGGCGGGACAGCTGGCGACACGTCAGGCGAGGGCAGCAGAGACGGACCCTTTGAGTCGGCCGACCCCCCACGTTTGGCCACGCGTGTGTAGAGTGGGGCCTCGCACCGCAACGAATGGTTTAAGTCTCGAGGGGTGCACAAACCACCGGCGCTTCCCCCATTTGATGCGAACACACTGAGGCCGCAGAACCTCGACCACCTCGACAGGACCCCTCCACGGCCGCCCCAGTTTAGAGGATGTCGCGAGTGGTACCTGGGGGCAGTGCAGCCATGCCCTGTCCCCCGGCTTCCACTGCAGCACGTGCGCGCGACCCAGTCTGAGGCGCTCATTTGCCTTCTGACGCTGTTCTGAATTTAGCATGGCAGCAACCCCGCGTGCAATTCCCATGCGTCGGCATCACCCGATCCCCGCCCCGCCTCCCCGGCGCGACGGCGCAACGCGAGGAGGGAGGTATCCTCCATCTGGAGGCGCCCCCATTCCTGAATGTGCAAACCCAGCAGGGAATCTTTCCCTTGTTGTTCAATAGAATTTGGAACAACTGTCCCGCCGTCGGCGGCGGCCGCAAGGACCGGAACCGACATGTCCCCTGCTGGCTTGCAACGTCCCGACCCCAGGAGGCATGCACATTCTGAGGTGGTTGGCATGCGCGACAGAGCGTCCGCGTTGGTGTGGCGAACGCCCTTACGGTAGGTGGTTTCGAAATCAAAATCCTGGAGGATCTCCAACCATCGGGACAATTGTCCCGATGGCTGTTGAACTCGCAGGGCGTACTGCAGTGCCGCATGATCTGTGCGGACGGTGAAACGCCGACCGTACAGATATGGGCAATACTGTTGGATGAAATAGACAATTGCCAACAGTTCTCTGCGGGTGACACAATATCTTTGCTCTGCTTGAGACAACACCCGACTGCCGTACGCAACCACCCGTTCGACGCCGTCAACCACCTGGGAAAGCACGCCCCCAATACCCGTGTTGCTCGCATCGGTGTCGAGCAGAAACGGTTTTGAAAAATCGGGGTAAATCAAGGGAGGAGCTTTTACCAGGGCGTCCCGAAGGGAGCAAAAAGCAGCCTCCTCCTCCTGACCCCAGTGGAACCGAACCCCTTTTGATGTTAAGGCGTGTAGGGGTTTGGCAATTGTTGCAAAGTCGGCGACGAACCGTCTGTAATACGACGCGAAGCCGACGAAACTCCTGACCTCTCCCACCGAGGTGGGAGTCGGCCAGGAGCTGACACACTGCGTTTTGGCGGGATCGGTAGCAATACCCGAGCGCCCTACGATGTGGCCCAAATAACGCACGGAATCGCGTAACAAATGACATTTTTGGGGCTTGAACTTCAAATTAGCAGCCCGCATCTTTAGGAAAACCGCCCGCAACCTCTGGAGATGTTCGTCAAAAGTTTTAGCGAAGACAATAACGTCATCCAAATAAATCAGGCACGACTCCCATTGCAATCCAGCCAAAACCAATTCCATCAAACGCTGGAAGGTTGCCGGCGCTGAGTGTAAGCCCATCGGCAACCGGTTGAATTGGAACAGGCCGTGCGGTGTACGGAAAGCAGTTTTAGGTTTCGATTCATCATCCAGAGGAAGCTGCCAGAATCCCGAAAGTAAATCCAGCGTGGAGAAGAATCGCGCTCCCGCCAAGGCGTCCAGCGATTCGTCCATCCGTGGGAGCGGGTATGCGTCGGCAACCGAATTTTGTTTAGGCGCCGAAAATCAACGCAAAACCGCAACGAGCCGTCCTGCTTTTTAACCAGGACGATCGGCGCTCCCCAAGGGCTGGTAGAGGGAGAAATAATGTCGGCGGCTAACATGTCATCAACGGCCAATTTGACATGGTCCTTTTCGGCGGGACTCAACCGAAACGGATTTTGGCGAATTGGCGCGCTGTCACCCGTGTCAATATGGTGACGCAGCAGATGAGTACAACCCAAATCGTATTTATTCCGACTAAAAACGTCGGAAAATTCCTGCAGTAGCGATCTAAGCTGTTGGCGCTCTGAATTTGACAGGTCCGTCGATCCCGCAAAAAGCGCGTCGAGCCACCCGTCATCGCTGTCCGAATGTGGGTGCAGTCGGGCGGCGGTGCCGACATGATTCGCAACCGGTTCCTCGCAGGGCATCGGCGTCGCGTGCGCAAGCACCGTCCCTTGAGGAACTACAACAGTTTGCGATCCCACATTGAGGACCGCGATGAAAGGGTCCCCATCTCCCCTCACAACGGTCAGGGCCGGAATCAAATGCGGTCCACTAACCCCGGCCCTAGACGGTCCTA